GTTTTTTTTTTTCATTTTTACAATATTATTCCGTGAATTGCACGTGGAAAAATACTAGTTCATCGCAAATATAAAATACAACTCAATTATTTAATTATCTATATATAAAATCCAAAACACAATTTAATCAGGATTTACCAGTCAAAGTATTTGACTATTCAAGTTTTTCCTTCGTCCCATAACTTTTTTTGCCTGACAAAACTTTGAATATGTTATCATATATAGGCATGGCTTTGCGTCGTTCCTCTTAAAAAAAAACCAATTAGATTTTTAAATAAATACTCAATTAATAATTAGCATCTACACTTGCTAGATTCACTCTTTCAACAAAGAAGGAAAAAGAAAAGGAAAGTAGAGAGAGAGAGATAGTTAAAAAAAATAAAAATAGAAAAAAGAAAATTGAGAAGGGAAGAATAATTGAATAATGAGAGATGACTATTAAGGTAAAATTGGAGAGAAGAGAAATAGGAGATAGTACCCAAAAATGAATTATTTTGTCATAAAGTCTGAAATAAAATAATAAAAATTAAATAAAAGGGCCCATAAATTTCAGATATGATTGGAACCACACTTTGGGAGAGATATAATAAGGACATACTTCACCCATCTGTTTTGCAGACACACTCTGGCCGTGATTCGCATTATTATCATTTAATTTCATCATATTTATTTTTCATGCATAAATATTACAATATTTTATTATTATTATTATTATTATGGAGTCTCCCCTGATTTCTTGAACGTATGTATTTTTCGGCGGCTTATAACATCCTACATCTGAAATAATTATGCATTAAACACGCATATATATAAGTGTATGTATTATTACGTGTAGACCAATGATGTAAAACGGGATAGTAGGTTCTAGAAAACTACGTATTTCCGATGTTTAATCAAATGTTTGTTAGGAATTGTCCGCATGTTGGGGTAAATGACAAATATAAAATTCTGAAGACAAGGCGATTTGCGACAAACAAAGTGGGCCAAATTTGGTGGGAAAAAAGCAGAATTGGTTCTATTTGGGCTGGGCCGTACGGGAGGTCGGATCTGGTGTGTGGTCCAGAGGATCATTGTGGTGGAACTTCATCTTTTGTTCTTAGTATTCTTTGTGGGTCCTCGGGTGGGTTACCCGGTTTCCTTAATTTATATTTTGCTAAAAAAAATAAAAAATTATGCTGGTTAATTTGAGCTTGAGCCAAAAAAAAATAAAAAATTATGCTGGTTTCAAAACTATTGGAATCGTTTTGAGAGTTATTTTTATTTTATTTTTGAGGGATGTGTTGTTGCAAATGAAGAATTTGAAAATAAAAGTACTGTTTGTTCATAATTTGAGACGGGAAAAATATACGATAGCGGTCAGATGAAGTTTAAAAATGTTGGAACTAGTATTTTAAATAATTTATCAATTTGAAATTTATTTCCTTTCTGTATA